GGGGCCTGGTGCCTTTGTGATCTTTTGTTTTTTAAAGAGGCCATGCACATCCTTTTCACAGATCGTTAGAGGTGGGGGGCAGGGGGAAGGATCGTGATTGTCGGGGAGCAGCTGCTGGGTCTGAGGTGGGGAGGGTGAGGGGGAGGGGGAGTGTTGATTTTCAAACCTGCATGACTAAATGTATTATGACCTTAGGCTTATACTGGTTTAATAGATTTGTAGGAGTATGGGATAAAACGTTGATTTGACAGTCCTCAATTAAAACAGTAATTTTCAATCAGTATAATAAATGTCCACAGTACTATTTTAGCCATGGTTCTTCTTTTTCTTCCCAGGCAATGAGATGTGGATCTACAAAGCAGATGAGTTGGAGAGAGGTTACCCCAAGAGGCTCTCCAGCCTTGACCTCCCCAGTGACGTGCAGAAAATCGACGCTGCATTCAACTTTAGAAAGAACGGGAAGACTTACCTATTTGCTGATGACAAGTTCTGGAGGTGAGGAGCTTAGGCAACCACTTGTGAGCCTAAAACCCTCTGCACATCCTAAGTCATGCTATTGACATCATCACCTTTTATTGTAGTACAGGGGTGTATCTGGATCTAGTTAGTGTTTGGTGTTACCTAAACTGTGCTATAAACCACAACAGCTCTATTAGCCCATGCACAACATGAGAGTTTGTAGTGTTGTCAGCTAACTGTTTTATCTCCATGGAAAAGTGTTTTTGTGTATGCGAGAGAAGACTGAAGCACTGATTAAAGGATGTTCTGTTACTGTTATGTGTGCACAGATATGATGAGCATAACAAGCAAATGGATCCTGGCTTCCCCAAACTTATTGCTGATTCCTGGAATGGCATCCCAGATGGCATAGACTCTGCCTTCAGTCTTAATGGAATTGGTAAGAAAAATAAAAGAATAGCTTATCTGTGTGTATTAAGAGGTCCATTAGGATTTGGAAAAAGAAGCAGGGCCCAGCAACAGGAGCTAACAGGAGGAAAATAAATAGCAGGAGAAAATTACAGGACCATAAATGTGGTTTTGCAGCATGGTCCTTTGCCATTTCACTTAAATTTTCTAAGCAGCTTTTGGTTTCAAGCCAAATCAACTCTGGGAGAATGTACTTAGACACAGCAGTGCTTTGAGCTACATGTCAACATGCTCACAATGATGACAAAGAAAGTATAATCTTTGCCATTTTCACCATTTTAGTTTAGCTTGTTACCATGCTAATATTTGATAATTAGCACTAAGTAAAAAGTACAGCTGAGGGTGATGGGAATGTCATCAGTTTTACAGGTTTTTGGCTGTAAACCAAAGTATTGGTCTAGTTCAAATCTGAACTTATTGTGGATACTACATGAAATGCCAGAAGAGCACCAAAGTTATTTAAATTCATCCTGAGGGGGATTGTGTTTATATAGCAAATTTTGTGCTATATGAGAAGTCAGAGGATAACCAAAGTCCATAAGATTCTGGTTTGGCAGCCAAGACATGTTTCACTGAAAAACAAAACATGCCAACCTTGTTATGGTGTTAAATTCAAAATCAGAGAATTATCAGTGTCATGCAGGAATGTTTGTCTGTACAAAATTCATGGCTATACATCCAATAGTTCAGTGTAGATAATTCAGTCTTGACCAAATGGTGGATCGAGCCATGTCACTAAAGTGGATTAAAATTAAGCACAGACTGCATCACTGTAAAAATATGAAAACTACAAACTAACCTTTTTTCAACTTGAATAAATGCTACACCAATGAACCAGTCACCACAAGCGTTGTCAAGAACTGTACAGAAATAAACCAACAATGATCACGGTCTGGTTGCAAATCAAAGAACAGAGACAACATAGCAAAAGGCATCCTGGACCTACCCTTTGTTTGAGTTTCAAAGAAGAGCTGAGAGAAAGGGCTTTTATGTGTTGTTTTGACTGTAACATGACTGGTGCTACTTCACTGTCCACAGATTGGCAGTTCCTTTGGTGAGATTGCAGGTAAACCCAGCCAGCTCTATTACAGGAGCACATCTGGCAGTGCACCTCTGTCAATAAAACTCATATACCAGAATTCAGTAGGCAGTGATGATGAGCAACTTAGACTGACTACACAGAGAAAATAAGGAAGTCTCACAGACCAAAGGGAGTGGTTCTGCTATTAGGGAGTCATCTGTGGTTTGATGTTGATAAAAGACAGGCAGTGGGAGAACTGCTGCATTTTGTTCTCACAATCTTTATTTTCCATGCGAGTGAATAACATAGAATTGTTTGTGTTAGCATCACTTGCTGGTAAAGTTCCTTGGAGACAGTCAATGTCAGCCATGTATCCCTGGGGATAGGATGCAGAATTTGGTCTATGGCAAGCAGGGATTTTTCCACCACTGCTCTCTGAACATACACACAGTACTGTAAGCATCAAGTAGCCCCTTTTCCACAGTGAACAAACTGCTTTATATAAAGCAAGTCTGTGTCCCTCCACAGAGGTGCCTCTGTGTTCTTCCTGTTTAGCTTAATTCAGAGAGAGAGAGAGAGAGAGAGAGAGAGAGAAACGTGACTTTGATTTCAGCAGAGCTTGACTCTTTTAATCCTTGTCATTTTTTCCTGTTATTATGGAAGTTGTTAATTACAACTTAAGTAAAGTTAAACAGAGTGTGTAATGTTCTTATCTTTGACAGATTACAGCTACTTCTTCAAAGGAAAGCACTATTTCAAACTGGAAGACAGCAGCTTGAAGATTGTCAAGCTGGGTGAAATCAAAGAGGACTGGCTCGGTTGTTGAACATTTGCAAAATGTCTCACGACTGGCTAATTCTCTAATGACGTCTGGCCTCATTAGGACATTGTAACCAACTCGGGGTCACTGCAGCGCACACTTATGATGGTTTTTATCCTGGCAACTCTGCACACTCTGAGGGAGACATGTCCCTTCCAGCCTGTATAACCCGACTCCAGCTTTGTAGAAAGGCACCTCAGCACCTTCTACACAGGCTAAACATAGGCAACTGGATATTTGCTATATTACTGTGTGATTTTGACATTGGATTTGTTATGTTAATGCAAATTTATTACACTATGTACCCCTTGTTTTATTGTTGTTTTTGTAGTTTTTGTTTGTTTTTTAACACAGACATCAGGTATGTCCACACTGCATTGAACATAGTGTGCTGTGAGATATTGCCGTTTTATACAAATTTGATACTGAAAGGTTTTTTTATGAGGAGTTCATGTTAGAATCACCTCTATATCCAATGTATGAAGGGCAGTTTTATAAATGTATCAGTTTCAATCAGTTGTTCTTATTGTTGTGCAATACATTTGAAAAAATGTGCACATTGTGTTTGACCGAAAATGGTGCTTTAAAGATTGCTTTTTGCTTAAAGTCCTATATACACAGAATATACGTAAACAAGCTTTATACCAGTGTAACTGTGTCTACGACTGCTTAGGATACAGTAGTATTCACAGGCAAACATTATTCTTCATTTGGTTAGCACTTTTTGATCGGACTATACAAAGGAATAGCACATTATGGAGGCCAAATTATTGTCATGGCAACCCCATGTTGCATTTTCTTTCACTAATGGTACAGAACGATTAAGGGCACAGGTTGCCTCTAAAGGCTGTATAGGTTTGCTGCATGATGGAATCATGACAAGAGTACCACAGTAGTATTTTTAATAATCTTGTGTTGTATTTTCTTTCTTGGATTTCAACAATACAGTTTGTGTTGTTTTGTTTGCTTGTGCACTTTCTTACTGTCATCAATAAAGATGGTCAATATAATATGGATCAGTGATAAACACAAGAGGAGCTTCACATACTTTGCACCATTGATGCAGATCCCACATGGTTCTAACTTGTCATAAGAATTTACTAGATGTAGTTAGGTCCTGGAGCAAAAATATTCGTTTAGTCGTCTTGAACGGTGCAGGATTCAGACCTGTGTGAGGCGTGTTCTGTATTTTGAAAAGAGAAGAGCAAGAAACGAACATCTTCCTTTTGGCACAAATGCCATTTTTCAAGCAATTGTTATAAATCCAGCTACTTTATAAATGACTGGGCAATGAAATCCATAACATTTGTGGCATTTTATAAGATGTATACAAATGTGAATCTTCAAAGCAATTAGTAGTTGTAAAAAAGCAAAGGGATAAAAGGTTACATGTAAAAATTACTCTACGCCTGCTAAATGATATGTTTTTTGAAGAGACATCTCTACAAAGTGCGCAAACAAATGAGATTTTTTATGAAATTCCACCATCTTGTGGCCATTTATGAGAGCTTGTGACAAAAAGTAGCATTAGACCCTGATGTCGCTGTTCACACGCTAGTATGCGTGCATCACTTCTTTTCAGCAAGAATTTATACAGTCTTAATAAGGAGTATTTTCACAAAGCATGTGTGGTCAGAGACTGCACCATGTTCCTGTTTTCTTCCATCTGTTTGTAAAAGCATATTTATTAAATAGATGCCCAGTAGGATCGCAGCATCCTTTAGACATGCAGAATGAGGGTTCAGTGATTTCTTTTGAAACTGAGAGGCTATAGAAACACACTGGCCGGACTCGACCTTGCTGCAACCACCGCGGAGGTGGAGCCTGAAGCGCCTGTCCGATTCCGCTTTCGCTGCTCTGGGTGCGCGCTCGTCCGTGTGACTGTGTGACATGGGAAATGGAGAGGAAGGCCACTGTTGAGGAAGTGAAATGATAACACAACGGCGCCTAGATTACGACGTTTGCCTGTTTTCGCTTTCTGGACAGCAATGTCGTCTCAACGAGTATTCGCCCTGCCGAGGCAACAGTCTCTGCTCCTGCCCGCAGTCATCAACCCGTTTGTGCAAGACACTAAACTGACCAAAGCTGATAGAATAAAAGTGAGTATGGTATTTAAGTTCAGTGGTCTTGCAGAGGCAGGCTTTTGATAATAATGTCATCTTTTATGGCAACACGACGTTCGCTGCAGTGTCTCATTTGATGTGTGAGGTTACACACAGACTAGTGCGTAACCAGGGCCTATTTAATCTTCTTGAACAGGGCTTTGGCAGATCGGCTTGTGAAGCCTCGTTATATGCAGCACGAACAACTAGAGCTGTAGGGAGCTTTTCTAGAAAGCCTTTCAGTGATGGGGATTTTCAGAGTTGTGCACATTTCTGCTCTGTGTGTCGACTCTGACAGCAGTCTTCCCTTTATGCTGCTGTATAGGCCTACTCTGTTTGATGCTGTTTGCATGCGCTCTCTCTACAGTGCGTCCTTCTGGGAATCTTTCTGGTCCCTCTACGCGCCATCCTGGCGTCTCTGGTTCTCATGGTGACATGGACGGTGGCCTTCATAATAACCTTCAACCATCCCCTTAAAGGAGCCGTGGAGCCAATGACAGGGTGGAGAAGGTAACACACAGCATCCCACTGCATCTCAGCCTCCTACTGAGCTGCCCATGCTCACCCTTCAGACTGCCATCAGTGTCCATGGGCTTTTGGATCAACTTAGTTAATCACTTACAAAATTTAAATCACTTAAAAGCCTGATAAGCACAAAGTGAGTATCCTGCCCTGCCTTTCTGACATCAGTTTTATTTACATGTATATTAAATGTCAATTTAACTTGCTTGGATAAACTGAATGGGGGTTAATGCATGTACAAGTGACCAGAGTCTCAGAAACCCACTTGGACATTCTTTTTTTATTTTCTACCAGTACAGTGCTACACAAACAGTGTGCATTCATTCAACAACTAAATGTGACCATTATTCTTTCATGATATAAGCCTGCTAACATTAACCTACAAAGAGGGAGTGTTCTTTGTCGAAGGTGAGCCATCTGTTTCAGTAACATGTAAACATACTGGTGGTATGGTGAAGGGATACACTGAGATTTATTGGTTTCACTGTAGTAAAGTAGAGAATTTTACTAGATCAAGGAGAAGCAGAGTCGGTGTGTTCATAGACTGGACAGTAAAACACCACAAAGGCAGTGTATTCTCAGAATAACAGTTCCTGACAGGACTTGCACAATCTGCACCACTAGATCATATCTGCACCACAAGCATTACTAAGCTCAGTTCCCATCAGTCCTCAGAAAAGACATGTCTGTGCAGATTCTCAGTCATCCAGGTCATAGGAAACTGAAAAAACCTTAGAAAAAATCAACTGGACTTAGATTTCTAGATCGAAGACGTTGGGGTGACAGTGTTATCCCCTCTTGTTTCACTAACACTGTCATCCCTTATGTGGCGGGTTTATCAGAGAAGTTAAAAAGGATATTTCACAACCACAATATCCCAGTTAACTTTAAATTAATTAAATTTATTTTTATTTATTCTTTCAAACATGTAACAACAGTCAGTATGTAATCACACATAATTCCAGACATGTCCACAAAAATATTTTCAATTTGCTTTTACCTAGTACATGCTTGAACGGAGTAGGAAGAAGTCAGACTTATCTAGTCCTACCCCCTAACATCATCTTGTCATCATTGGTTTGCAAGCAGTATTACTACATGGATACATATTCTACATCCACATTCCCATCTGATTAATCATTAAGCCTTTTAACCAGACCAACCAACCTTGCGAAAGTATTCGGCCCCCTTGGGCAGAGACTGGTCCACCCAAAGGACAAAACACCCAGACATAAACAGAGTGATGTGGTGTATGCCATTAAGTGTAGTCAGGAGTGTAACGACTTGTACATTGGTGAAACTAAGCAGCCTCTTCACAAACGCATGGCCCAACACAGGAGGGCCAACTCCAGTGGACCAGAGTCAGCAGTCCACCTCCACCTGAAGGACAAAGGACATTCTTTTGAAGACAGTGAAGCCCAGATCCTCTCCAGAGAACATTGATGGTTTGAGAGAGGAGTTAAGGAAGCTATTTTTGTAAAAATAGAACACCCCTCACTAAATAGGGGTGGTGGACTAAGACACAACTTGTCATCCATCTACATTTTGAGATCTCTGCCCAAACATACCCACCAGGACAATAGGCATCGGCCCACAGGGGAGGATTCAGACAGGTAAAAACTCTCACCGATACTGGGCTGTAACGACTCAGTCGATAGGGGACATTGTTGGCCATCAAAGGACTGAAACACCACCGAGGGGGATAAATATTACCGACTCAACGCCAGTCGGGCAGAACTGAAGAAGCCTCTTGGATGAGAGGTGAAACGTCTTCGACCTAGAAATCTAGTCCAGTTGATTTTTTCTAAGGTTTTTTTCAGCTCAGAAAAGATAATATTATAAGGGTCTTAAGGGAAACTGACAGAAACAGGAGGAAACGTACCTTGTCAAACACAGTTCACCCGTTTACTGCTTTGCTGTCAACAACCTCATATTACCAATATGCCTGGAACACCAAAGCTTATGTTATACTATGAAAGATCAGTAGGTGATAGCATTCCACAATTTAAATTAGTATTTGTTTACTAGAATTAATTACTTCAAACTCCATTAAGTACTATTTGTCATGTAATCACAAATGACATCTCTTAGACCAAACCAGGGTTACTCAACTCTCTCAACTCAACTCAACTTTATTTATATAGCACTTTACCACAGCACAGCTGACCAAAGTGCTTAACATACCATACAAATCTAAAATCATCACATAAAAAACTATAAACTATAAAACAAACACTAACACTACAGACAGAGTCTCATTCCTGGCCAAATGCCAATGAATACAAGTATGTCTTCAAATAAGACAAGCAAGTTCTGACAGGCATTGAAAAATAAAGCTGTGCCTACTGCACATTTAATTTTATCAACTGATAGTATATCAAGGTGTTGCTGATGCATGTGTTTGTGTTAGAAGCTTTTTATTCCCAAAACTGCATTACCACTGCCCCACTGAGCAGAAAGATTAATGCAGCTTTAAATATTCATATGTCTGTATAGTTGGACAAAAGTTTTAAAAGTTGCACAAAGGCATTTATCATTTTGTCACTACATCCAATTCTGTGTTCTGACTTCCTACTTCCTAGAATATGAGGAAGTAAGTGGTGCAAAGGAAAACTCTTTGCAATTTTAGGGTTACAGGAAAAGTACAACATTGTGCAACTCTTCCTGTTACTAAAACACTTGAAGTCCGCCCCTTTACTGGCCCCAGTCACATAAGAGCCCTGGAGGTGATTATAATTAAAACAATTAAAGAAAAATGCTGAACATATAGTATATATTTCTCACCTACTTCAAAAATGAACAGATTAGAGGAGCAGTCTGAAGGTTTACATTTGGATGTTATGGTTTTGAGCTACACATATATTTTTTAATGTCCCTGTCATCTCCAGGTTCATGTGTAGGAGGGTGATGGCTGCCTTAGGGAGGACTTACTACTTCTGCTTGGGCTTCAGAGTGGTGGTTAAGGGCAAGCAGGTTAGCAGCAGTGAGGCCCCCATCCTGGCTGTGGCCCCCCACTCCACATTTTTTGATGGAATTGTGTGTATTGTCGCAGGCCTGCCCTCCACTGTCTCTCGTGTTGAGAACCTGGCTACACCCATCTTTGGCAGTGAGACCCTTTTCATTTGCTTGGTTGCTTCAGTAGAAGGAAGTAGGTGTGTAGTATGTGTTTGTGGAGGCTTGGTCTCGCAGCCTCAAGTGTGTGTGTGTGTTCTTACTTACTGTAAGATGCGCAACACCACAGTCATTATCTTGTGCTGAAATCTCACTCATATGCATGTGTGCATGTGTTTTGCTCTTACTACAGGGCTTGTGCGCTGTCTTCAGCCTGTGCTGGTGTCCAGAAAGGACCCAGACTCCAGGAAGAATACTATCCAAGAGATAGACAGCAGAGCCAAGTCAGGAGGCCGCTGGCCACAGGTCTGTCACAACACACCAAAGAAACATCCCCAAGCACAAAGAATGTAACGTTGTGTCAGTGTAGATTATCGGTGGTGAGAAAACTTTGAGTCTATGAATGAACCCTTCCTATCTTCCTTTGAGGAACATTGTTTTTAAACATGTAAATAATTTTCTTACCCATATGTTGGCAAACTGGCAGTCCTCAGCCCATCTTTGCTCCTAAGGGGCTCGGCTTTTCCTGGATGCTACCTTTGTACCAAGTCATGATGCAGCCACCTGTTGACATCACCTGTTTCAAATGGAACCATCATTTCATTGTTTTACCTCATTACTGGTCCTGAAATGCTACTGTCCCAACTTTTCTTAGAATGTGTTACAGCATTAGAATTGAAGTGAGTGTTTATTTGGAACAAAGAATAAAATTGATGAGGTATCACATCAAATAATGTATTGTATGTAACACAGGAGACAGATGATTTACACATCACTATTTTCAGTTTTAATTTTGATTTTACATGCTGTTCCTACTTTTTTTCTGATTTGGTGTACAAGTACAGTTTTTTCAGAAACTTACTTTTATGCAGGTACCACTAGAATCATATTGCTTGCTTGATAATCCTTTATTAATGATGCTTTGTTCTATAGGTTTTGATATTTCCAGAGGGAACATGTACAAATCGTTCATGTCTTATCACATTCAAGCAAGGTAAGATATAAAATGCAAATTTAATGTCATGTAAGGTAAACTGTAGTCTTTTGCCTTTTGTCTTTTAAAGACAAGAAAATAGCAACAGACAAAAGACAAACTATATTAAAAGCTATTTGTTAACACTTTCATCAGCTAATTATAGCACATCTAGCATTTCCACTTCACATAAATCTATTCCACTGAGCAGAACGACTACACAGAAAGAACACTTGATGCTACACTGCTCCATTCATTCATTGTACGTTGTGGTTCACGCACTCACATTACGTCCACCGGTGCCCGTAAAACTGGTTTTGTGTGAACAGGGTGGTTGGGGATGTCGGTTTCAAAAGTCATACAACTATTTTGTTATTTTGTAATGAGAATTAACAGTTGTCATGCTGTTTTATTTTATACTCTGTTCTCTCCCCACCTTTAGGGGCCTTTATTCCAGGGGTCCCTGTGCAGCCTGTGCTTATGAGATATCCCAACAAACTAGTGAGTGTTTGTATTTCTCATACAACATTAATATATTTCACCTCACATCTTGAGAGCCTAATAAACTGGCACTGTGCTCTACTAGTTTACACAGAAGATAAATATGTAAAGCCAAAAGTGATTCATACATCCTGCCAAGATATACACACTTGTCAACCACAAGTTTACTTCCATCCAAACAAAATACATAGTAAGACATTCCCAAGCATCCTGGAGGTACGGTTATCATCCTCTTCCATTTTCCATTTCAGTTCATTAGTTTTGCTGACTGAACTGTCAACAAGTATTTGAGTGCAATCAACCACAGAAACAGACTGATAGCAACTCTAAAAGCTCAGCTGTCTCACACACCTACCAGCTCCTGCAGTGTATATGCCATCCTATTCAAGTGTTAATGTTTTACGAAGATGTGTCTTCCTCTCTCTTTGTTCTCCAGGATACAGTGACTTGGACTTGGCAGGGTTTTAGCTCGTAAGTATGCTTTATACATACACATATATAGAGCTGTGCATATGGAGAGGTTTCTCATAGTTTTACCTATAGTGTGCATGTTTGGTGAAGCTGGTATCTGCTGTGACAGTCTGATAAATGAATACTATTATAGTATATCACAGTAACAGTACCATTATTGCCTTGGTTTGCAACAGCTGCTGGTATTAATGAATCAACATGTGTAACTGACTGCCCTGCTTGTATTACTTGCAGGAGGATACTGCTGCTTCTAACACTGTGCCAGCTGTACACTACGGTAGAGATAGAGGTATAGGCATCCACCATGTGTGCACCCTAATGTAACGGATAATATACAGGGTGGATAATATACGGAAAAGTAGCCCGGCTGCAATATGCTCTCAAATACACAGGCTACTTTTCCGTGGCCCACCCTGTACTACAAAGTGTTTTTGTTCTTCTATAGTAGATTTTAAATGTTATTCATTGTTATTTCAGATTATTCTTCACTGTGTATCTTGATGTAAATTCCTGTGGTTGCACAGTGTTTGTCAGCCCATTTGATATGTTTTTAAATTAGTGCAGCTTTACTAATGATATTAGTGCCACTATCTGCTTTTGAGTTAAACTAAAGACAGCTAAGTATGTTAACTTAATTTGCTGGAATAGAAATGGGTTTATGCTGTACTCACAGGTACTATGAGATATTATGCCTAAGGGCAAGATGTGTTTTTTTTTTTTTTTTTTTTTTTTTGCTTTTTTTGCAGGGGGGGATTTGGTTTCCATACAAAGGTGTAGATTTACTTTCAGCTTGACCTTCTGTGGGGCCTCTTTCACTTGTTTGTTCTGTTTTCCAGTTCTTGCCGCCGCATATTCCCACAGAGGAAGAGAAGAAAAGCCCGGCTCTGTTTGCCTGCAGAGTGCGAGCCACTATGGCCAAGTTAGTGTTCATCAGTCATAAGCACATTTTTAATTGATGGGCCACACAGTAGAACAAAGTGCAAGAGAAAATCAACAGTACAGGCATGTTTATACAAGTACACTAATAAACACCATGTTAAACACATATGGAGTACATGTCAGTTTATGTGAAAATCAATGAGTGCTGAGAGAATGCTGTTGAATAGGATGGCCACAGTTTAAATGAAGCTGTACAATAAGTTTGGCTATTTTATTCCACTGATCAGTCTGAGCTTGCATACCTTCCTTTTCAAGTATCTCAGACTTTTGAGTTGACTATTCTGTAAACAAGCTGTTTGGCTGCAGGGCTTTGGGTGTTCCTGTGACAGACCACACATATGAAGACTGCCGTCTGATGATCTCAGCTGGCGAGATGATGCTACCCATGGAGGCTGGCCTGGTTGAGTTTACCAAAATTAGCCGCAAACTCAAGTAAGAATATCTCACTTCAGTACAAAATTGTCATCGACAGCTGCTGACAAAAATAGTTTGAACTTTTTTTTTCTTTAATTGTTGAATATGACTTCCTCCTTGTCACTCAGTCTGAAGTGGGACAGTGTGAGAAAAGAGCTGGAGGGTTTTGCAACCATGGCCAGTTCCTGTAAGGGAGGACGGATCTCCATTGAGGAGTTTGCCAAATTCCTGAAGCTACCTGTAAACCCAGCCCTGGAGGAGCTGTTTGCACTCTTTGACAGGGTAAGATAAATTTTGATAAAACAAATTTGTTTTTCAGTTATTCATTAATAAATGAAGTTCCTTTTGTGGACTCACAGCCTAGAGGTTAGAATTAGTCTACAATGAGAAATTGGCCCCAACACATCCTGCAGGAAATGCATCATAAATATAATAGTTGACAATGCAATGTTAATATTCTTTTTAGAGAATGATTTTCATTCTAGAAAACTGCACATCATGTCTGTCAGTGAAAGTAAAATTGCGGGCACCTGACGGTGTGGATTCAGCCTGAACCCACACCTAAACAGGAAACTGTGATCAAAACAGTTTGGCATCATACCTTGGTTGGATGTTTTAGTGGGAAGAGAGGGTAAAAGCTTAAAAAACAGCTTGTGACATGCAGTTTAATGAGTAAAAAGAAACCTATTTGTATTGAAAATGTTTGTGTCATACACTTTCAGTAAGAGAGAGTCACCATTTATAGAAACGACTCATGCTTTTGTCTCATATTATCTTTAAATACCTTATACATTCTTTGACAGTCAAAACTGTTAATACTAGGTAAATGTCTGTTTATAAACCATAAAGGGCACAGTACTACCCATTATAAAAAGCTGTGCCTTTACAAACTCAAGTATATTTATGGCTGTGTCTTAGAATGGAGATGGCACCATTGACTTCAGAGAGTATGTTATCGGCGTGACCATCTTGTGTCGACCAGCTAACACCCAAGATGTTCTTCAAATGGCTTTCCAGGTACAGCAGCAATGTTTTGACATAGTCGCATAGCCACTATGGCAAGAAGAGTATTCATAACTATAGCTGCATAAATGCACAGGCATGTGTATGATAGTGTTTGCTCTAATGGGTCACCCAAGCTAGCACTCCACAGAACTGAATTCTTCAAGGCATGCACTCAGCACTGTCACAAATTCGAGTATATAAGTAGAAATATTACAATAGAAATAAGCAAAATGTTAAAAAAGCAGTACATTTTAGCTAAATCATCCAGTCCTATCTTAACTTGATATCACTGCATAGCAGATGGAGCAGCAGTAGTGTGGGAAGACCAGAGGCAGTGTTCAGAGAAGCTTAGATAATGTCAAGAGCATGTAGTCATTCTGCTAGCCATAAGGTCAAATGTGGTTTTGGATAAATGGCTCTGCTGTTTATGTAACATAACTGAAAATTATTTTGGGAGAATCATTTAGCAAATATTAATTATACAATTTAATGCACTTCAAGCTTTTTGCTACCTACCTACATTCACACCTTGAATAGATTTTTCTGAGTCTGCAAACTTGAAAGTAGAAACCAAATTTCTCCCTTGCTGTCCTCTCTCGTGCAGCTGTTTGATATAGATGAGGATGGGAAAATCACACGAGAGGAGTTTACTTCTCTGCTGCGCTCCGCGTTGGGTGTGTCAGATCTCAACATGGCCAAGCTCTTCAAGGAAATTGATGCTGACGGCTCTGGTTTCATCACCTTCAGTGAGTACACTGTGCCTTAAGACACAGAGCTAATGCTGGACTACATTTTGAACTTGTAACCTTCATTTATATTTTCATCAAGTTATTATGGAAATATGTGTTGTCAATACACGTATACAGTACATTGTCATTATTACTTTTACTTCCCATATCCCAAACTGCACTGCATCCTGATGCTTGTCTCCTTGCCTGTGATTCTTCAGGTGAATTTCAAGCCTTTGCCACGACCCACCCAGAATATGCCAAGCTCTTCACCACCTACCTGGAGCTTCAGAGATACCAAGCTATCCAGGAGGGGATGCCAGATGATCTGGAATTGGGTGGTCAGACAAGTTCAGGGGAAAAACAGGAAGACAGTAGCTCTGACAAGAAAGAGGACTGAGGCACAATCCAACTGTAAGCCCTGCTTGACTGCACTGAAAGACAGAACACTCTGTCCTCTGCACTGAGAAGGAAACAGCCGAGTATCCAGCAACTTTTAGCAAATCCAAGTCATTTGCCACAGCAGTGCCATATTATAGATCATGTGCTTGCCTTTTTATAGACATGGTTTTTAGAATACTTCTGTTTTCAATTTTAGTGCCATATATAGATTTGAATGAAAAGCTTGAAGTCACAGCACAAGAAATATCTTATTGCGGCATCTCTGTATAGTATTGTGTGGGTCTTTTTGGTTATGTGTCCATCAGAAAAAACTAAATCAAAAGCTAGTCATGGGATGAAAATAGGTCAGAAATCTCATCAATATTTTCAAAAACCATCTAAACCCTGCAACCCTGTTTTTGGACTTATGTTGTTAGTGACAGTGTATTATGTTATACTTGAGTACTGTCATTGTAAACTGCCTCACCATGTTTTTGACTTTGTACTTTCAATACACCATTTCTTACCCTTGTCTGGACTTAGATGAACGCAACTTGCTGTACCTTGTGGTCTTCTGTAAATTAGTGGAAAGGTTTGCCAAACCATCGACCTTTTAAGACATAAGCAAAGAGTCTTTGTGCTTTCGTGTTGTAATATAATTAGTGTACACTAAGGTTTATTAAGATCTGTCCACTCTTGCAACCTATAGATGTTCTGTATTATAGCTATATCTACCAAGAGCTTACATGCTGTGTATTACACTTTTTTCCAGTGCTCAGGGACACAGATCGTGTAACATAGCTGTATAATTAGCCAGAGGTTTACTTTGCATGTGTATCTATTTCCATTTTTACTGAAGATTGTTGTTGCTGAGACAGCAACAGCATCTAAGCAGCTTTACATTTACTAAAGCAAATAAACCAGTTAAAATAGGGCAATTTGTGAGCAAAAAAGCAACAGTACTTCTTCACAACAGCATATTCCAGCAGTGTATGCTTTACGATGAACTAAGTGGCACTGTTATTTATATATCAGGGTGCATTGCCATTATCTTTTTTGTTAACACTGTAAAGTTTGCCTTCTAAAATAAAACAAAAACATAATTGTATTTCTTGCCTGACTTGTGTTTTTATATTCACCACTGAGGAAACTAATGAATTTTGTAGGATTTATCACAGTATGAGGCATACTAATGAATGGGTTATGGCTGTTCCTCTGGTTCTCTAAACCACCACCAGGTGCCAGCAGTTACCTATTAATTCTTTTATATGTGTTTTTGGTCAGCTTGTAAAAGCAGTTTGAATTTTAAACCTTTTGTTATTTTTTACCTGTCTCTTAAATTGAGATTCAGTGTAGACAACAGTTAAGTTTAAGTTGGAATCAGAATTAAGATATAGCATGTGCTGTTAAATATTGGACAATGCAAAGGTGTTTGTGAACATGTGCTTAATACTCAACCCTCAAGAGCAATGTTGTTTTTTAATATATTTTCTGTGTATACTGACATAGATCTTTTTCATATTTTGCTTTGAATTGAATTACTCATTGTTCAAAATGAAATTTGAAGTTGTTGCAAGTGTTACATTTAATCATGAGTGAACTAAAACAGTATAATGTGAATCATTTCAGTTATTACCTTTATTACTTTCATACCATATTCATGTTCTGTTCAGTCCAGAAAACCTAAACATTATCTTAAAGAAAATTATTGCATTCCTGTGACTTACATGCTAATTGCTAAGTTTGTCTGCATTATAGGACTGTGTATCCTGTGGCTTCAACTGATCTGTTTATGACCCAAATCCAAAGAGGGAAGACAGCTGGATGGTGGTTAGATAGTAGGGATGTAACAATACCAAAAACACATGGAATGACATTGCTACAATAAAAAAATCCATGATATAGTATTTAGTACTGTACTAAAAAATGAATCAGCATTTTTTTGTGTGATTTTCATTTTAACTTTACCTCTTTATTAAATTAAAAGTAGCCAGGAAAACCTCATGTGCAAAAAACTGAAACTAAAATTCAGCCACACAGCAGCTCTAAAAATTAACAGTGGAGCAACCACTACGTCAGTTTGAAATTCTGCATCCTAAACACAGTTGTACAAGAGAAATAACCATACAGTATGTAATATCCTGATAGCCTCATGTCACAGTCCCACGAAGATATCAAGACATTTTTCTAGTGTAAGATTGTGAAATTACAAATATCATTACATCCCTAGATACAGACACAGATAATAGATAATTCATGAAATTCAAATGTAAATCGGTCTGTGTCCAATAAACATTTTCATTCTTTTCCGCAATTTCTTTTTTTCTAACACATTAATCTGTTTGTTGGTCAAAATGATTAAAAATATACACTTAAATATGCCAAAAAAAGGGTGAGCATTCACATGGAAGCTCAGCCTCCAAGTTAAATGATATATGACCCATCATTTGGCCCCAAACAGGGTTGTGCCCAGCCATATATCATAAATCTTCAGGACCACCATTTTCCAAGTCTCACATAACCTAAAAATGCACCTACAATGATTTTATAGACACAATTACACAGACTTTACTGGCTTTTACTGTAAGTGCCAGGATCATGACTCCATTTTGGTGTAATTTGCTTATTTCAACCACTGTTAGGAGAGCAGGTCATCTGTAAGGAGACCATGATGCTGTAGTGTTCTACATAGAGATATGTGAATGTGCTCACACACACACACACACACGCAAAGAATAGGCAGTCTTGCTCTATATGCACAGAGGAGGCTGAAATGAATGATGGAGAGCGGCTTACTTCATTAAAGGCCCACTGTTAGCCAGACTGTGATTACCAGCTGTGATTTCCACCTTCAATTTGTTTTAACCTTTTCAAACGTACAGAGGCTCATTTCATTTTAATCAAAATTGATGAGATGGCGTGGAATCAATTAAGTCACATTGTTGCTGTGCTTACAACAGTGTGACTCCTCTACCGGTGCAGTTGCTGCTCTCCTCTTTGGCCCCATGCCCCTCCATCCTCCCTCTTTCCTCTGCATGGCTGTTGTATATTGCTATTCCCATTTCAGTCCTGCCTGGGGGATGATCCTGTCACAGTAGATTTTGGGGGATATGTGTTGGTAATCTGATTTGGTCTTCTTAGGACCCGAGTGAGTGAACAGCCTCTGTCTGTGGACCTAACCTGGACACAGGCCTCATACACATGGAGAGCTCACTGCACCAGACTAGAAGGAAAGGTCAGAACCGACAGGCCTCAGTGTTAAATTGATGTGACACTACTCTGTGCCTCAATTTAACCAGTTTAATCTATATACATATAGATATATATACATATATAAAACTTTGAGGGTGCTTACCTATTGTATATTGTTAACTGAAAAAAAGTAGGAGGTGATTAGGCTTCAGTAGTGCAAACTTTTAGCAATTTTAGCAATGTTACATAAGAGAAAGAAATCAACAAATACTTTGGGTATATGTTCCTATAGAATAGATCTTCCTGGTTATAGGAACAGAATATCTGGGTGTGCATATACACTACTGTGACCCCTCCCTTGTTCCGCTTAACAAACATGGAGACAGGGCTTCACACAGTGCACATTAACATTAGCCAACAGGTTAGAGGATGTGCATTAGTCACTGGCCTGGACTTCAGACTGAGCTAATGCAGGACAGGATGAGGAAGTGTTTATTATAGTAAAAGGTAGGGGTGTGACAATACACTTAGCTCCTGAGATGAGGTGATACACGAGAACAAGAGGAAACAATAATTTAAAGATATTTTTAAGAAATCTTCAATGTCGAAATATATGACTGGAAAAATAGTCTTTATTCACCTGAAAGCCAAAATGCAAAATAATGCAGGTGCATTTTGGAATGTTTTACCTAATCATCTTGTAGTAAATGCCAGTTTAGTTCTTTGAGTATGAATGATCATATGCAGTAAAAGACAACAATATGCAAGCACTGCAAAAGGTTTTGCCACAAACTGACTGACTGGCTTCTCTCCTGTATTACTTGACATGAGTCTCTTCAGACCTTATAACTGTGCATGAACTATGCATGAGGTTCTAACTTCTAATTGACGCTGTACGTGACCTTCTATGCTATTTCCTCCCTCATCGTACCACACTGACTGTTTCCTCTTCCTGCGGTAATTGTATTAACTTCCTGTTTACTGTGCCTGCATCGTGATGTGCTTGCTAACAGATTAAGCTCACTAATTTCTAGGTTTATCAGAACATCAGATAATTTACTGAGTCACAACATATGCCTGCAGTAGTTTAGCATCTGTGTTACAAAAGTTCTTGCTAATTACCAAATTTAACTTGCTACTTGCGCCTAGCGTAGCTAGCTTGGAGCTTCATTGAGGACAATGGCTTCCCCTTCTTCCTCTTCTTCTTTCGCGGGCTCGGAGTGTCGCATGTTCAGTTATTCCTCTGCCTCCTTTAGTGATAATGGTACTTGTAATAAATGTGCTAGCAGCATTGGAGGCGAGGCTCACCGATTTGGAAGTGTGGCTCCACACCATGGAAAACAGCCCAGCTAGCGAGGCCCATGTAGCCAGTGTGGGTCCTCTTAGACGTAGCACAGCCCAACCTAGCCGCCCCCAGAGCTTCCTGAGCAGCAGGGATCTCAGCGAGGTGACAGCACAACAGTTTGCAAAAGCTGTAGTTTGAAACAAATACTCACGGTGCATCACCTTCCTGTTCATGTTTCAAATTGATTTTCTCCACTCAGCGACACACCCGCTGAATAAATAACTGGTAATTAGTGACTCCATAGTCAGAAATATGAAGACACCACCAGCCATAGTCAAATGTATTCCTGGGGCCAGAGTAGGGAACATTAAATCCTATTTGACGGATAAGCATAAATACAGTAAGATTGTAAGGTTGTTATTCACATCGGCACTAATGACTCCTGTCTTCGCCAGTCAGATGTCACTAAAATTAATGTCAAGACGGTGTGTAACTTCGCCAAAACAATGTCAGACTCCATAGTTTTCTCTGGACCCCTGCCCAATCTGACTGGTGATGACATGTTTAGCCACATGTCATCATTCAGCCGCTGGCTGTCTAGATGGTGACCAGAAAATGATGTGGGCTTCATCGACAACTGGAAAATATTTTGGGGCAAACCTGGTCTGATTAGTAGAGACGGCGTCCATCCCACATTGGATTTCATATCTAGAAATCTGGACAAGTTTACTTTACAACTTAAACTATGACAACCCAGAGCTCTGTCCAGGACGCCACATGTCATCATTCAGCCGCTGGCTGTCTAGATGGTGACCAGAAAATGATGTGGGCTTCATCGACAACTGGAAAATATTTTGGGGCAAACCTGGTCTGATTAGTAGAGACGGCGTCCATCCCACATTGGATTTCATATCTAGAAATCTGGACAAGTTTACTTTACAACTTAAACTATGACAACCCAGAGCTCTGTCCAGGACGCAGGTCACAGTCTTACACACCTCTCTGCTGTCTCTTTGCAGCTGCTACCCACCCAAAACTCCCAGTACCTCATAGAGACTGTCTGCCCCTCAACAACCTAAATTATATAAATCAAAAATCAACTCGAGGAGTTATTTATTAGAACCTAATTAAAATTAAGACGACTCCTCTTATAGTGGAAAGTAATAGGACAATCAAATGTGGACTATTAAATATCAGATCTCTCTCATCCAAATCTCTGTTAGTGAATGATTTGATAAGTGAACATCACATTGACTTATTGTGTCTTACTGAAACATGGTTACAGCAGGAAGAATATGTCAGTCTAAATGAATCCACTCCACTTAGTCACAGTAACTGTCACATCCCTCAAAACACAGGCTGAGGTGGAGGTGTGGCCGCAATCTTTTAATCAACCCTAGACCAAAACATAGTTATAACTCGTTTGAAAGCCTCACTCTGAGTCTCTCACAACCAAACTGGAAAACTCCACAGCCTGTTCT